CATGTGATACATATAAATTACTACCCGGCTTTAGACAATCCCCATTTTAAGTTCTAAATTGGAACTTCCCTTCCACATCTATATTATACTGTTGTAGACTAACGGATTCAGCCTTTCAATATGCAAGTTCTAAAGGAATGAGTAATAGGAAAGCAAATCAGTTTGCAGTGTTCATGGAAAAAAATTCTCAACATTTGATTACTATAAACAAATGTATATTAAAGTTAAGAAATTCGGCCCAAAATATAAATTCTATTTTGACTTGGGTTTAACTAGTGTGTCCAGACTTGTGCAATTACATATATAAAACGCATCAATCGTGATATTAGCCAATCATATTTTTTTGTAAATTTACAATTAACCACTGGGAAGCTCCCGTACTCAAAAAACAAAGAATATTGTTGAAGTAGGTGATGACGATTGAGTCCATAATTTATTATTATTATGTTTGGTTGATTAGAGTTCTAACCACAAAAAATATACTTAATATTGTGATGTTTATCAATTATCCATTTTAATAAATTACAAAAAAAAATGATTGGCTAATATCGCGATGGTAGTATTTTACAAGATTAATGTTTTTATTCTTAGCTGCCAATATTAATAATTCTTTGCCTTTTTCTCTATCTACGGGAATGTTAAATTTATCAAACAAATAAATATCACCTAAATGATATTGAGCTTTACTGTTGCTATTTTCAGCAAACTGATTAAGATAATTAATAAATATTTGTATGTCTTTTACAGATTTATTTTTTATTAATAAAAATGCGTAACGCAATTGTGCACCAGCAATTCCTTCATCTGCTGCTTCTTTATATAATTTTGATGCTTTATCTTTATCTTCAGGGCCACCAATACCTTGATCCAAATAATAGCCAAACTAGTAAGTTATTAACTCATATATTTTATAATATGTTATAAGGAATTTCGATTTTTTATTTCTATTATTATGCGTTCTGTACAATTTGCATCCAAATTTCTTCTTTTCTTATGATTAACCAGAAACTCATAGTCAAATCTGTATATGATTTGGTTGTAAGTTGTTGAAATATTTAATTTATTGAATTTTCTTCAATTTTCTTATAATGATTTTTTGGGATAGTAGTATTTTCTTCTTCCATATTGTTTTTTGAAAATAATTATAATTCTATAAGCTCCTAAAGCATGTTTATACATACTTTTTATTTTGTTGCCAAAAAATGCAAATTAGTAAATCCAATACAAAGATTTAAATACAATCTTCAGTTGCAAAACTTTGCAATTTTAAAATCAAATACTGAAAATTAACTTCTGTATCAAAATTTTGTAATTAAAACCTCAATTTAAAATTGAATAAACTTTTTATTTTTTAATTGAATATCTCATTTATTAGATATATTAATTATATTAATTATTGCCAAGAGATGGACAAAGAAATGCAAAAAAAATTGCAAAAAAATAATAAATAGTATTTTTGGAAAATTTGTAATTAAATGAACAAAGTATATTACAATGCGTTATTTTTTAAATCTAAACTAATAGATTCGTGAATTTTAATTCTAGGTTAATCTAAATTAAACTTTAAATGTATTATTCTTGTAAATTGAAATTTTCAATTCACAATTCTATTTAATCGAAATGAAATTTTTATTACAATCAAGTATCAACAACAAATGCTTATAAATTAATATAAATTAATAATTACTCGTTCAAAATTGTTTCAAGATTGTCTTTGTTGCTAATTGAAGCGAATAGAAATTTGGCTGGTCAGAATTTGATCCTTCACAAGATGTTAAAACAATTTCAGCAATACAAAGTATTAAGAATGTAAATAAATACTATGGATATATGTTATTATAATGATGATATTTATATATTATTCAATTATAAATTTTAAAAGTGGGTCTTCAGATAGCAACGAATTGTTATCATCTATTGGAAATTATTACCAATAATAACGATACCATTCAACAACACATTAAAGCTTGGCTCGAAGAGAGGTGGAAAACAATTAGTTCGTAACATTAAGTGTATTTGAAATAATTCATATTATTAGGAGAGATCAAGTCTTATAAATGAATCAACTTTTACTCACGATATGTTACTATCTATTATTAATTTCTCCTGGGTTCTTTAAATGTTGGGATCAAGCTCAGCCAAAATTATATTTACCAAAATTATGTCTACCAAGGTTACGAATTAATTCCACAAAAATTAAGTTTACCAGAGTTATAAATTAATTCTTATCACCAAAATTATGTTTACCAGAGTTATGAATAATTCCACCGAATTAATTCCACCAAATTATGTTTACCAATTCAGGGTAGATTAAATTGTGTGAAAAAAAATAAGATTAAATATAAATATTACAAACTTTATTAAGGTATTTGATTTTTTATTCGTAAATAAAGCATTAGCATATTTAATATAGGGTAATTACATTACTCCTGATACATCACATATTATCTAATATAACAAATTAAAAAATTTATAATTAATATTTCATATTTCATCAAATTATTGCTATTTAAGACT